GCCTATTAATGCTAGTGTCCACAAGGCTGCGTGCTATCGCCCACGCTGTTTCTTCTGCATATCAATGATATGTTGCAAACCCGTAACATTCATTGCTATGCAGATGACAGCACTGGTGATGCTCTTCACGCCGGCCGAGCCAATATTTCTCGGGAAAACGTCTCCGAGTGCCGGGACAAACTTGTGTCTGAAGTCGAGTCTTTGCTGAACAGAGTCTCGGATTGGGGGCGACTAAATCTAGTCCAGTTTAACCCCCAGAAGACACAAGTTTGCGCGTTAACCGCTAAAAAGAACCCCTTTGTCGTATCTCCTCAGTTTCAAGGCACTCCCCCTTGTTGCCTCAGCCAGTATCGGAATCTTCGGCGTCGACATATCGAGTGACGTGCAGTTTCGTGGTCACTTGGAAGAGAAAGCCAAATTGGCCTCTAAAAAGCTTGGCGTGCTCAGCAGAGCGGGACAGTATTTCATGCCGGCACACCGCCTGCAACTTTACAAGGCGCTGGTTCATGGAATACTGTAGAACTGTAGAGTAGTTTAGCTGTGAGCAATTTCACTTCTTTTGGGTTAAAGTAGATAGTTTCCCAGATGTGTTAAGTTTGCGCATTAAGGGTCCACAATCAATCACGATGTGCAGAGGCGTTTTTCCTTTAAGGAACAAAACCGGCATGCACATCCTTGAGTTGCTTAGTCCCAGGATGGCCATGTGCTTTTTAAGACAATAGTGTTTAGTCAGGGCTCTTGCCAGAATGTGCAGTTTATTTTTACCTAATCCCAGGGCTTCTGAAGTGAATTTATGATCAAAAGCCTGGATTAAGCCAGGCTTAAAATGTTTTAAGCCTGGTGTATCAGACCAGATCTTAAGTGATTTATTGTGATAAATAGTTTCAAGATTAAATCGGCCTAGGCTTTTTGAGATTCCGCAAAATGGAGTGCGAGCTCATCGGCAAGTTTATTGTCTGCAATACCCGCGTGGGACGGAACCCATCTTAAAATGACCCTGTTTTTACATCCCAAAGCGTATAGACGGTTCACGCAGTCTCTAACTAGTCTTGAGTTCACTATGTTTCATCTCAGCGCTAGCAGTGCTGCTTGACTATCATAGTTTATATAGATGATATGATTGACATAGTGTGTTTGCAGATTGATTTCCGCAAACTGAAGTATGACGAAAATTTTTGCCTAGAAGATAGAGGTAGATCTACCCTAATTCATACTAAATTTAATTTGGGGTATTCCTCATAAACTCCAAAGCTACGTCGAGGCCATCGGTGTACCATTATAATGCTACCGATCTCACAGATAACCTATCCATTCGGCCAATCTTCTCTGGAGGGTAGTTCCACTATATACTTTTTATTAAAAGTGTATAGTGTACGCATGATGTCTGAGATCATGCATAAGACCCGTGTCTTCTTAATTGAGTCGAACATAGATCTCAATTTTTAGGAAAGCAAGCGCAAACCGCCCTGGGCGTTAATCCTATACAAACTAGCCCTCTCCACCTCGTCTAAATAAAGATCAAGGGGCGTTAGACACAGAAGTGCATTAGGAGCTGCTCCAGGTGATGATCGCATCGCTTCAGTTGCCATGAAGCAGGCAGTCCATAGTAGACTATTTAGTCTGCCCGCAGTCGTCTTTTGGTTGGCCTTATTACACCAGACAATGGAGGCGTAGATGATAATTGGCCTCACTATCGCCGCGATCGGAGCAGTATTGAATTTGGCGAGACAAGCGAAGCTTCGGAGCGAAATAAAGTGAACTAAAAGTGATTAGTGTGATTAATTATTAGTGTGATTTAAGTTTTAGTTGGTGTTCTCTAAAATAACCCGAATTTTTTCCACTCTTTTCTTGCACGCATAAAGGTGTAATTTTTGGTAATTCAATCAGCAGTTTTTATTTTCACGAACCTCAAGCTCCTCCCTCGTAATAATATACTGAAATAATTGTGATTTTTACGCTGCCGACATTCGCTTGGTAAGTTTTTTTTGTTATCAAAATACAATAAAATCTTTTTATAATGAAGTAAAACCTGACTTTTGTTAGACCACATGATAGAGAATTTTGTATAGATTTTATAGTGCTAAACTTCTTCATGGTAAAGTAGTCTCTAAATACAAGTTTTAATGGTTGTAATTGCTGTGGGTGGGTGCGGTCTCGACTGCATAGGATTTTTATGGTGCTTGAAGGGTTACTGCATTTAATAATCTAAGTAATTCGTAAATGTATTGCACTGCTTTTACTTTTGTTTCGATTACCGTTTGCGCATTCAAAAGCAAACTATTAACGACTGATATCGAAATCTAAAAACGATTTTCAATAACGATATGAAATCTCAATATTTTTAGTAAAGTAACCGTTGCAGCTAAAAACTGAAAACGCCCATTATTAGCTTAGAACAAAACAATTTGCCCTTATTTTCAACCATATACAAATGGTAATTTAGAATATGACATTTTTTATTACCACAGGCTAAGTTTCAAACTTTCGTAACTTTTATTCACTGACTGATAACAGGGTACAGGAAAAGGATACTGCTATCATTACAGGTATCCTCTTAGTAGTCTGTGATAGTGACATAGCCTAATAAACAGGCTCAGAAGGACTAGAACCCAGAGCCAAGCCAGTTAAATAAAAAACCCAATAAATTTGCTGTCAAAAGTTCTCATTTTAGGGTTCCAAATTTTTTTAAAGTATCGATACCTGTTCGATACCAAATATCCAACAAAAAGTATCGATACCAAGTATCGAACAAAAAGTATCGACTGAAAAGTATCGATACTACTTGGTATTGAGTAATATTTATAAAATATTAGGAATCGCAAGAAAATACACAATAATGATTCAATTTTATATTCTCCAAATTATGTTACAAAATATCGGAACTAACAACTAATTACTGAACTCCCAATCTTGTACATCGCAACCTGACATAAAAAGCAGTTTATCAAATAATTTCTGTTCTTAAACAGTACATGACTATAAAAATGTACCTATTTGATTAGGATCATGCTCATTCAATGTGATCGTTTTCTTTTATGAATAATTATCTGAAAAATTTTAATATAATAGCACATCAAAAGACTAACCAAATAATACTTATAAGTTTTCATAGATTCTTTTATTTTCATAGTTATTTTCTATTTAATATACAACAATAATCTGATCATCTTCTGATTTTGATTATCTGATAAATTGTTTAAGTGATAAATAATCATAAAAACCATTATGAACTCATTAGTATTCTCTTTATCCAACAATAAGTCTATCAAAACAATAAGTCGGGATTGTCGATATTTTGTTTTGATTTTTTCCATTTTTCTGTTCATAATCCCATGGAAAACTATACAATACACATGTGTAATTTACTGGTGCAACCTCATTCACTCTATCGGTAAATTCTAGTATCACAATTTTGGGATCATAATTAATTGCGAATAATTTTACAATCCGCTTTGTCGTTGATGTTCAGATCAAAATCCAATGTTCTTTCCACACAATTTTTCACTTGGCAGTGACAGTTGGTAGATATATTTTTCTGCAGAACTATTTTGGCAGCTTTCAAATGTCCAGTCATAACAAGGATTTGATGATAAACTCTTTGTAAAATATTTGTTTCTATCTATTCTGTATTGTATATAATATACGTGTAGTAAAGATTAAAATTTTTGTCGATGTTGATTTGTGTTTCATGTACCAGATCAAAATCCAATGAATCTATTATTATTATTTTTCAATCTGTAAGCATCCGGAATTGCTGTTTCAAAAACACAGTAGTTTATCATAACTTCCAAACAAACATCGTATTTTATTTGGATCTATCAGGCTATTTACACAGGGTATTTATTTTCGTCAGAACACACCCAACTGATCTTATCAATTTCTTTAATTATGCTATTCTCTTTTTTTTAAGTTTTACTGCGAGACTTCATAACTTTGAAATTAATTTTACATTTCGCTGAATTTTGATCAACTTTCTATCTTTTGATCAACTTTGTCCTCCGTGGCATTCTGACGATCCAAATCAAGCAGAGCACCGGAGTCAGCAGTTAAACAGTAAAATTCACTTTTATAAACTTTTTCGTTTCAACGACGAATACCAATCAAGACAAATTTCTTAACAAAAATGGTCTTCTACTCTAATCATTTATGACTGTCAGGTAGACTTTACTAAAACAACACACATACACAAATAAAACACATTTAAAATCAAATATTTTGCGTTACCATTATTATATATTATTATATTTCTTTCATTCATCAAAATTACGGGCTAGTAAATATATAAAATATATTTACCCGGTCACTTAAGCATTATTCCAACTATAATAGTTTTCCCCCGAAATCCTCACTCCAACGAGAGGAACGATGCTATACAACGAAACAGGAAGTACTATCTACTGACTTTTATCTGTGTAGTGAGAAATAAAGGTATCGAATAACTAAGAAAGTATCGATACTTAGTAAAATACTCTAATAAAAGTATCGAGTACGAAAATACCAAACTAAAGTATCGATATTACTAAGGTACACGATACTTTTGCGGATCCCTACTTATTTTTGAATTTCTTTTTTCTTAGATTTAGATTTATAATTTAGCTTATGCTAGAAAAACGTTATTGGATTTTTGTGCCCGGTAGTGCATAAGTGAATATCAATGACAATTTAATTTGCTGTAATAAAAGCAACCAGAATTACATCACAGAGTACATTTTAATTAACTGGAAATCATAATGCAATGCCTACGTTTACTTAGAACAGTGCATCGACAGTCAATTCTCAAAATTTGTATGGCAAAGTACGTCTCACAGCATCCAATAAAATTTTTAGAAACCCAAGATAGATTTCGGGAGAAGGATGGTATTTCTAAAGAATGGCAGTTAATTTATAAAGCACCTATGGAGAATATTCTGAAATTTGTATCGGCTTATCTAACTTTTTCAACCACATCCGTTGCATGTGGATTACTATATTATTCAGTTTTTCTTTTCGATAAAGCAACAATGAATGAACCTGTTATAATTGGGCATGATGTTGTTATAGCTAATAATGCAATGGAATGCTTCATTTATCTTGGTGCATTTGTTATTTTTCATGTGGCTGTTAAAATTCTTCTGTCTAAATATGTTATACGATTGTATCAAAACGGAGATAAATATTTAGCAGTTTTTAAAGGTCATACATACAATTCCATTAAAAAACATGAGTTCCACTTAGATGAATTTAAAAAGTTGAACCCTACTTTAGTTGTGTCTTGGAGTGATGCAAGATTTGCTCTTGGAGAAAAACATGGCATTATTCTTGAGAACTACTTCAAGACACCTGAATATTTCCACAACCTATTAAATAAGAAAAAAGCTAAAGATTCAGTCAGGGAAAGTGACTGAATAATTATTCATAAAGATGTTTAAGTATACTGATTTTTTGTAAATTTTAATAAATGATAGGATATTATTTTCATTTGGAGTTTGTACTTAATCTATTAACCATGTCATCCACTTTTTAAAGTAGTTTTAACCCAAAATTACTTATCTTACATATATAGTGCATTGGAGTAAGATTGGTAATGGGGTAAAGACCGTACAATTCAAATTCCTGGTGAATTATGCTATATTTTTGAAAGCTAGCAATATGGTACAAGACTCCATTTTATTCTGCCCTGACCCCAAGTTACAACCAGTCGCTCTGAAAAGTAGGGCATGTGCTGCGCAGTATTTTATAAAATAAGGTAACTTTGTATTTTTTTTGTCCATCCGGTCTTTCCCTATCACTTTTATTTGCGATTTTTAGCGACGTCCAGTCTTACCCCTTGATGGCCAATTCTTCATCATGAATAAAAAAAATGATGCCTTGTCTTCGCACACATTTTAAGCCGAAACCGTTGAGTTTTGTAAAGTAAAAGCTTCTTATAGCTAAATTACGTATAACCATTAACGATTTGCACCATGTTTCAGAAAAATCTGACGTATATGGATGTAGAGAAAATAAAGTTTTTACCTGACTCTTTTAATGCACCTTGAAAGAAAATATTGAAGTTGTAAGAACTCAATTTGCTTATTTCCATGTAATGAAATAAAATAATGTAGACTTTGCTGCGAAGAAGTAATTGATTTCCAGAAAGTAACAGATTCTATCAATTATCTTAAAAAAAATTCTTAAATGACTAATAGAAACCCCAATCACAATGGCATGTCTCATTGGAGATAACCCAAAATTTTCACAGAACAGGGTTTAGAGCAAATGATGATATAGGTAAATAATCCCGAACAAATATCAAAGTGAAACATTTCTATTTATGCACTATTATTTTTAATTTATTTATGTTTATTAATATGAATCCACTTTATCTGGTGATTGAAAAAAAAATATATTTGGTATGCAGCAGCTATATAAATGGTTGTAGCGTGAATGGGTTGGCTTGACCGGGGTAGGATCACACTCTCACAGAATATCACTGTAAAATAGTAACTCAATGCTGCTATGTTTCATATAGCGAGTGTAGAGAACAGGATACTCTTTTTACTGGAACAAGGCATTCCATCTTATTGTCAGTGGTCTAATACTAGACTTATAGGAAAAATTTAAAAGATTTATATTTAGATTCATTGCATTAATGTATACTATGAATACCCCTGTTTCATAGTTATGAATGTCTTCATATTTTTACATAATATATATTTTTTAAAAGGTATCTGGTATATCTGTGATATAGAACACTTACTCTCTACTGAGAGGTATCTATAGCAAAATGTGAATTTGTGACCACAGATTAATAGATAAGTAGCCAGCTATTTGTAGCAATTTATGCCTGCATCTGATTGACAAGCAGTACCAAAGCTAATAGTACTTCCTCAACCTAGACTTGTTGCTACAGTGCCCGAACAATCAGTACTTGAGCCTATACCATGCTTGGTGCTTGCACAGATAACTATAACATATACTATCACAGATACCTTATAAATGTACTAGTCCTCAAATGTCATAATTTTGAAATATATTAATGGTGTGTTGGATGTCTTTTCATTTAATTTTTATGAGTTTTTACAAGAAAATGTTCAAGAAGTATAAAAGTGCAGTGCAGAAGTGTAGTAGTGAATCCTATATGCCATGCGGTATAATCTCTCCCCTTGAGCACTGTGTGGACACCTCTATGCTGGATTTCTTTTTGAAAAGGATTTTCTTAGTGTAGACGGTACAATATTATTTGTTCATATAACCTTAGTTGGTTAAAATGCATTCTAATAATCAGCTACATGACATACTGAATTACTAAAAACTTCACACTCTTTACAAAGCAACTCTTAATACTACTACTTATATGATCAGTCCATCAAATACTTCTTCTGGATTGTTTTTATATAGAGCTAAGAAGTTACTTTTATATGCCCCATCCTTTGCAATCATTTGAATGTGAAGATGCATATGAAATGCAAATACTTAAATCATATCATCATATTCATTTAGTTTCCGATCGCTAAACCGAGGCTAGTCAAATACTGAATATTTTAGGTCAGACACCCACAATGAGACCAGCCATGTGTACAAAAAAAAGTATTTAAAGAATTTGTTAATAATTTCATTGTTTTTCTTTGTTTTTACCTTTAAGTACTCACAACCCCAAATCCAGTGAAGCTAGATCCAATCAAGGAGTTATTTCTAGATTATAAACACTACATACACAAAATTTACAGTACTAAACATATTAAAGACTACTAAATAAAATATTTTTATGAAATAATAACAGACAATTATTAAAACTAACAAATAATTTACTCAACTATTTTATTTATTTGTTTCTGTATATTTCATTCATATTTTCAAAGTTCGGTCAACAGTACAATGAATTTTTTATAAGAGTGAAGTGTTTAACTAAATTAATTTTAATGCATTTTAAAGAAATTTATAGAACACACCTTGTTATGTTTACACTATTAATATGCCAAACCCACACAAGTAAGAACATGAATTCACATTCATTATGCATCAATAATTATTTGCAACTACAAATTACTGTGTAATCCAGACCCAGTAAATACAGCACTGTAATTTTACAGTTTAAGTTATGAAGAGAAAATGAAGCTTGTAATTGGAGGAAATCAACTAAGCCTTGCAGTTGGTTCAATCCATTTTTTATTTGTTTGGAGGATTAGAATATCTAAAAGCGCAAAATATTACATAACCTATTTTTTTAACAAATATAACAATAAGTTAATAAACATGTACAGCATAATATTATGCAAAATGTTTGTACTTTATAACATACAAAGCCAAACTTTGAAATTGACTAATATAAATATTTAAAATTTGTTAATCGTAATGTACATCAAATTTCTGTGCCAAAATAACTAATAATGTTTAAAAAAGCATTGAATCAATATAATATATAACTGAGTAAATTCTAAAAGCCCCCACCAAAAGCTATATTCCACTTATATCTTGAATCTTTTTTAATTGTAGTTGAATCCATTTTACTTTTATCAGTTTCAAACTTTTCTAAGGCATCAATTTGACTTGCTTGGGGTTCTAGAGTTTTTGTTACTACACATTGTCCATTTTCTTTTAAGATTGTATAGTTTATATCTGCTTCAGTTGGTTCCCCATAAGGGAAAGTGATTGGTGTCACTTTAATTAAATGTTTAATCTTCCACAATCTAGCATTTACCTCTGGTATATTTTTAACAATTGTTACACGATTCTGTAAATAGTATAAAATTAGTCTTTTCCGGAAATACATAAACTAAATGATGTAATGTAATGTTACTTACTGCTTCATCAATTTTCAATTCCTTAAGAATAGTCTTAAGCCACCAAGGGTTATTTTTTGTTGGACGTATTCTTTCAACTCTAAACAATTTAGATGGCGTGTATTCAGGGTCCTTGTGATCAGGCTGTCTGTAATTACAAATGATGTAAGAAATCAACATATTATGTACTAGTATATATTTGCATACTAAACAAAGGCTAATAATACGGTTTATGAATAAAATAAATATATTTTTTATACCAACTACCTAGGATAGTATACGATACCTCCAGGGTATCGCAATCCACCAGGAGCTTTGTAACCTTTTGAGCGATAAAATAATGCTAATGTAGGGCTAACCGTCTTTAGTACAGTCTGGTTCATTTTTTGTTTTTTTCAGGTTATTCAAAGATGAGATGCATTAGTATATTGTTCGCTTATTGTTCACCTAAACTAAAAGTCTATGCTTTATGGTTTTAGTGATGTTCAATGATTATCGATATTCGATGATTATCAATGTTAAAAATTAAAAAATCGTTGCTGCCACATGTCAAATATCAAAACAATGACGTCCATATGAACCCATAATCGATTAATAGGAACTTGTGAAGAACGCGAAACGAAATCTGTATCAACTAAATCTTGCATCGCCTGTTAAAGGTTTAAAATTTTGAATAATTCAGAATTACCAAGCGCATCGATCGTATACGTAACGTCACAGTCGTCATCCATGGTCACTGCTTTCTTCGTATTTACTGTACTCCATGGTTTTGTTATTCTGTAGTGTCATCGTCGGTTGTGTACGTAAATTGTATCAGTTTTTGCGATTGGAACATTTGCATCTCGATCACTGAAATGTTCCGAAGCACTGATATGTTTCATTTGGTATCATACGACTCAAAAGATATAAAATACAGAATAGTACAACCTACGAATACATTAAGTTGCGTCGCGGGGCGTTTAATTAACAGAAACTGACTGATTACGGAGTGAAATGTTATGTGGCAACAATGACTGAATAATATAAGTGCTTAGGTTAAAAATTTTTATCACAATATATTTAGTTGCAAATTGTTATTTGTATGTGTCACCGGAGAAAATAATAAGTGTTGTAAAGTATAAAATCGATCCTCCAATCCGAAAGAAGGCGTCAATTTGTCTATAGGTTTCTCTGTCTACGCATTCAGCAATTACTTTGCACAAGCTTACTCAAATGATTTATATAGAAATAACCTTTTAAGTAAATCTGAAGAATGAAGTTATCTATATTTCATTACAACGTTTATAGTTTTTTATCACTAATTCAAATTCAAATCTTTCAAACAAAGCAATTTATTTAAAAAAATAACCAGTATCAACTTTGTTACTATAGTTCATAAAAGACAGCTTGATCCACAGAACACTATTACTCCTATCGGAGGCTTGATCGCTCTACTGACAGCTGTCGCAGAGATCAAGCTATATTTTACAACCATAGACGTCGTTTCAATGATATGTCACTATGTACCTTACCCATAGTGTTTGGATGATTAAAATTGATTGTTATGCGAATAATCAGAATAAATATTCAAATAATCGGTAAAATATATATAATTGAATCATTATTTTTTTAATATATTATTAAGCTATTTCATAGCTTTTATT